TTCAGACCACAGCAACACCAATAATGAATTCCACTGCCCAGAATATACAATTCTGCCTTCCTGGCTGCTGTCTTTATCTGGGCATTTCATCCTTCAAGGCTCAGTTCAGACGCTATCGCCCTAGCATCTACCTCACTGGGTGCCCATCCCACGCGTTCACAGACCGCCTCTGCTCTTCACATATTGTATCACTGTGATTGTGATCCTCTATCTTTGAGGGCAGTGACTTGTTTTTTTCTCTCCAGCTTCAGCTCTCACTACAGTGCTTAGTGGGTAGGCACTCAATAAATGTCTGTAAAATGAGAAAATGTTCTCAGCTGCCAGAGTAGCCTGGACCATAATGAGCATGCGTGAGCTGGTGGCGCCCACCGAGTTTCTTCAAACCAGGAAATGGAAGTGCAAAGGGAGCATCATTTTAGAAAACGCTAAAACCCAGCCCAATTATATACAGACTAGAAAAAATGCAAATTTACAGTCGCTAAATGCGGGCGGGCTTGGTGGCTCAGCCTGTAATCCCAGCACTTTGGGAGGCCAAGGTGAGTGGATTGCCTGAGCCCATGGGTTCGACACCCACCCAGGCAATTTGGTGAGATCTCGTCTCTACAGAAAATCAAAAAAATTAGCCAGGTATGGAGTGTGCCTGCAGTTCCAGCTACTTGGAAGGCTGAGGCAGAAGGATAGCTGGAGCCCAGCAGGTCGAGGCTGCGGTGGCCAGGAGCGGCCACTGCACTCCAGTCTGGGAAACAGACTCCAACTCAAAAAACTAAAAATAAAATGAAATCACTAAATGCCACATGGGTTAGGAGGAAGACTGAACTCTTAATTATTACTTTGAAAACTCCTTACAACAGGATCCTTCGTTTTCTTTTTTTTTTAAATTGGAGTCTCACCCTGTAACCCAGGCTGGAGTGCAGTGGCACGCTCATGGCCACCACGGCCTTGACCTGCTGGGCTCAGGCAATCCTTCTGCCTCAGTCTTCCAACTAGCTGGAACTGCAGGTGCACGCTACCACACCTGGCTAATTTTTTTGACTTATTGTAGAGACGAGCTCTCGCCTAGTTGCCCAGGCTAGTCTTGAACTCCTGGGCTCAAGCAATCCTCTTGCCTTGGCCTCCCAAAGTGCTGGGATTACAGGCTTGAGCCACTGCACCCGGCTCCTTTGTTTTCAAAATGACACTATTACTCCCTGGTCTGGTACTCCCTGGTCTGGTATCCCTTAGTAGCATTGACATTGGATCTCTGTAAGGAAGTCCTCGGCATACAAACGAGCTCAGTTCTGAAGGCACATGTAGTAAGTCCAACAAAGTTAGCCTAGGTATCCAACTAATACAGTTGGCTATATAGTACTGTATGTATCTAACAGTCTATATTGACACCAGCTGGAGAAAAATACTACATACAAAAAAACAGTGTGCATCGTAAAAGTTTGTAACTTGAAGGTTCTTACGTAGGAGACTTACTATATTCACTTTTCTTGGGTCACTTCAGAATCACTGGATTTCAACAGCTGAAGTTAAAGTTAAAACCTATCAATTTTCCAGCCCCAAACCACTGCATGAAAGATTAAGCACAATCAGGCATCAATATTTATTAACACAAGACAAAGGAAACACATTCAATGAGTTAATAGAACACTGTCCAGCCAGATGTTAAATTTAAAAATGTATATCTAGTCTAATTTCAAATAAATAAAAAAACTTTATACATAATTACACAGTACTATAGTTTGAATTTGACACGGGTAAATATCTTGACAGAAAGTAAACAAAACAGCATTTAGGACTAAAAAAATCATTCTTGTATCATTACAATCTCTTCCTCTGGACAAAGAACATGGCCCATCCACATATACCTAACCAGAAATGTTGTATGGATGATGACAAAAGGCCTAAGTTGTATTTGGAGTTGGGCTTCTTGCTCCATATATCTAACCAGAAATGTTGTATGGATGATGACAAAAGGCCTAAGTTGTATTTGGAGTTCGGCTTCTTGCTCCAAATACTCTTGCTTTTATATCAAAGCAGACAACAGAAACAACACTAAGGCATAGATCTCGTTGGAGTTTGAGGGTGAGGTGATAACTCCTCATTGCTTTAGTCTAAAAGATTCCTGGATATTCAAGGAAAGTAATTTATTTGGCCAAGTATTGAGCACCACGCCTGGGTCAGAGACCTTAAAACATCTAAGGTCTCAGGCCCTTTGTTGAGTCAACAAAAGCATTAAGCAAGCACTGCTCAGGGACTAAAGAAGATGCACATGACCCAGACAGGCAATGGTCCCTAAACAGCCTGAGCAACACAACGTCAAGAGGAAAGGGCTGGTAAGGGAGGCAGGAAGTGAAGACCATATGGGTTCACTGACGCCAGCGTGCATGCTGGTCATTCCCAGGTCTCACTGATGCAGATGACGGGTCTGAGCAGCTCTAAGCGCTTCCAGGGCCCAGGAATTTTCCTGAGGCAGATGCCTGATCTACTTCAGTGACTGCTGCTGAGAAGCAGAAAGGAGTTCCGAAACCTGCCAACCTATAGATTTCTCCTAACTGAGATGGGGGCTCGTTTCCACAGACATCAAGACCCAGACAGAGTGAGTCCCAGAGGAGTAGTAAGGCTGTGCCTGTCAATTGCGGCCTTTCAGGCCTACCTGAAACATCAGTTCCACCACGAAGGTGTCACTTAGTGTGGAAAGAGCAAGAGTCCTGTGTTATCAAGAGAAAAGGCTCTTACTGGAGTCTGTGTAGAGGAGGCCTTCAACCTGCAGATGACCCCACGAACACTAGACTTTCCACACCCTCCAGAGGACCCTCTGCCCCAGGGGAGTTTTCAGCCTTCCTGCACTGGCATATTCTGGCTTTGGGGGATAAGCAAAAGGTCAATAAAGCAGCCACATGGCAGAGCAAAAAATAAAAAGAAATGAGAAACCCGAGGAAGTACAAAACTAGATAATCGGTCCCTAAGGAACTGGGAGTTGGCCACACTCTGAGATCAATGGAGAAACTTATTTGAAAGAATGAGGACAGATGTGAGCTGTCCAGTGCAGTAGTCACTAAGCCACAGGCGGCGGCTAGAGGCTTGCAGTGTGGCTAGTTCAAACTGAGAAATGTTTAATACACACTGGATTTCAGAGGCTTAATATAAAAAATGTAAAATATCTCATAATTTTATATTGATTCCATGTATGATAGTATTGTTGAGATATTAGGTTAAATATATTAAAATCAACGTCACCATTTTTTTTTTAGATTTTTTTAACTTTTAAAATGTGGTTACTCGTAGGGGCCGGTGGCTCACGCCTGTAATCCAAGCACTTTGGGATGTGGAAGTGAGAGGATTGCCTGGGCCCAGGGGTTCCAGACTAGCCTGGGCAACTTGGCGAGACCTCGTCTCTACAATAAGTCAAAAAATTGGCTGAGCATGGTGGTATGCACCTGTAGTTCCAGTTACTTGGAAGGCTGAGGCAGAAGGACTGCCTGAGCCTGGCAGGTCAAGGCTGCGGTGAGCTGTGATTGTGCCACTGCACGCACTCTAGCCTGGGTGACAGAGTGAGACTTTGACTCAAAAAAAAAAAAAATGTGGCTATTAGAAAATCTTATAGATGTGGCTCTTATAGTATTTTGAGTGGACGATGCGTCTCTTGATGCTCACACCCTAACCTGTGTTAGAAAGAATTATCAAAGCAACCCTCAGGACAGACAGAATCTACCTAGAATCTTTTCTTAGAACGTAAGCTTTCTGGAGATAGAACTTTATAATCTTCAGGATCCTCTGCTTTGTGTAGTGAATCATTAAGAAGTTCTAAGAAAATTACTTTCCAAGTATCAGGCTGTTTTCCTGCAGACCAAACCATTGCTAGACACTGGGATTTCTTATGTGCCCCAGGGTAACTGCTTATTTTCTGTATGTACATCCTAGAAGCCCCCCTCGTGTGTAAATTAATTCTACCCAAAATGTTGAAAAAGAGATCTGGAACTGGAGAATGTCCTGAGGTCTGCCCTCTGTGGAGAATGAGCTGGAAGAAAAGAGGATTATGTCGAGGGGAGTCAGAAAGTGACTTGTAGTCAACAAGACCGTGTGAGGCGGCCTGGGAGGGCTGCGGGGTGAAGGGGCTGGTCTTTGCATTATAAACCTTACTTTCAGGATACGTACAAGTTTTAAAAATTGTTTAAAAACATATTTAGTTTACATGATGTTACAGTGGGGTAAATAATATGTATTATTAAAATAGTCTAAATAAATATTTACACAATAGACCAGAGTGGGTCAAAGAGAACCATTCTGCTTTAACAAGTTAACTCTTTTCACCTTTGAGCACTTTTTAATTTTTTAAAAATATTTCTGTAAGAAAAAAATAATAAGATTCAACTATATTCAAATACATGAAGTATCAGACCAAAGAAAGGAAACCGAGCCAGAGGCCAAACTCAGTCCCATGCTCAGCCCACCTGGCCTGGGCACTGTGGCTATTTCAAAAGTGTTTCTTGCATACATCCAACCTCCCCGGTTTCAGCCTAAGCCTGGCTGTTCTGGCAGCCCCAGCTGGCCAGCTCTGTGTAGTCATGTGGCCTACAGTTCTGTGTGACGGTGGATCCCGCTGCCTTCCTGGCCTGCCATTCTTGCGTTAAACCCCCTGCCCTCGCCAACTGGAAAACAGAGGACACTCTTGAGTCTTCAGGAAAGAGAAGCCCTATCTATAAACTGCAGACACAGCTTACAACGGACCTGGAAAAGTGGAAATTCTAAGTTCTTAAGTAGTCACTCTCCATTGGAAAGATGGTTTCAACACTGGGACCAGAGTGAGTTGTTGTGGTTCCTTAGAATAGGGTGTGATCTGATGAGTCTTAACTTTTCCTTAACATTTTGATTTTTAAACTGAGATTTTCAGCTAATAGAAGCAGGCTGAATTCATAGAAGCTTAAGCTGATTCCGGGAATGCAAGCTTTAAAAACAAACATAGGCAGCGTTAGTTTATAAAATACACCAGCCAACAAAGACACAGAACGATGTGCAGTGAAACTGCAAACGATTTGCACTTTTTAGTTAGCTAATCAATTACACTACATTAAGAGAATATTGAAATTCTCTCAAAGCAGAAATATTTCTACTTTGGTTGCAATTATACAAACCGATTCTTTAATTCTTTAGCTGAATTATGCATGTTCTTATTTACATGTTTAAAACACTAGTCAAAATGTTTTACAGTCAGGAATTATATATATAAAGTAGTTCTCAAATTCAGTGGGTTATCTGACTTGCTTATGGTTGACTGAAAATAAGCAGAGTAGTTCCATGTTAACAAAACCTGCAGAACGCCTAGCTATAGCAAAGTGGCAAAATACAGTACAGAGCGGGGACTGTGTCACTCAGACAACCCCTTTCATGTGAAGTCATTACACTCCCTTATAAAATTCTAAAATGGCATTAGATAAAAATACAAGTATGTACAACAGATGAAAAAAATGCAACATGCATGTAACTGCTTTAGTGAGGTGCTGCTCACGCTATGTCAAAGCTCGCATCTACCACACTGTTGACATTTTTTTCAGTTGCCACCACAGAATTCCCCTTTCCTGTGTGCTGTATGATCGCAGAATCCCACAGGATGAGATGAAGAACACAGCGCAGCCATCGCAGCTTGCTTCACATCCTTTCGAAGCTTGCTCCCAGTCACGGGGCTTCCTTCTTGGCGGTTCTTCAGGAGGGCCCCCTGCAGTCCCCATGGGGCCGCTACATGTTATAGGCCACGTAGATAGGGTCTAACTGGTCCGCCAGGAAGCTGTCGCGGAGATGCATCCTCTGCTTCTCCCCTCTGGAGTTGATTGGGATGACCCCTGGGTCCACCACAACCACGACGCCCACAATGAGGTAATGCTCTTCCAGGACCACGTTGGTCACCAACGGGACCAGATCCAGGGCTTCCTGCTCGGAGCCGCACAGTTCCACAACCACCACAAGCAAGTTGGTCCATGTGAACACGGCGCTGAAATGGCAAGGACGTTCCATTAACATGCTGTTACGCTTACTGGTCATCCTCTACAGCATCTGCCCAAGACTCAGGCCCATTTCCCTGAGAACTGCCCTCTCTCCGGTATCCCAACCAGAAGGGCAGTGGTTGTATCTGTGATATATGACACCTTGCCCCATGATCACAGCTGACTAGCTGAGCCATCCGACATCTCCTGGGAGTCTGGAAGTGGCATTGGTCACCTGAACTGAGAACATGTGATCCGAATGTTCTGGGGTCTGTGCAGAGAAGCACAGAGAATGACTCTTCAGGGAGAAAGAATAACGGGAACACCCAGGTAGCTACAACAGTAAGAGGCCACAGCAGTTCCTGAAGGTCTTCCCGTTTCCCATTCCTTGTTCCTACCCTTCCTGAGACTCAGAGTTAGTCCTTTTGGAAACTCTGAGATGGCCAGGTGTTCTCCCCATGAATTCTTTCACTTAAGCGTTTTTTTTTTTTTTTTTGACTCAGGGTTTCATTCTGTCATCCAGGTTGGAGTGCAGTGGCACCATCACGGCTCACCACAGCCTTGACCTCCTGGGCTCAGGCAATCCTTCTGCCTTAGCCCCCTGAGTAGCTGGGACTACAGGTGGGTACCACCATACCTGGCTAATTTTTTTTTTTTTTTTGAGTTGGAGTCTCACTCAATCGCCCAGAGTGGAGTGCAGTGGCCGCTCCTGGCCACCGCAGCCTCGACCTGCTGGGCCCTGGCGATCCTTCCGCCTCAGTCTTCCAAGTGGTCAGAATTACAGGTGTGCGCTACCACGCCCGGCTGATTTTTTTTGATTGATTGTAGAGATGAGGTCTTGTTGCCCAGGCAGGTCTCAAACCCGTGGGCTCAGGCAATTCACTCACCTCAGCCTCCCAAAGGCACGGGATTACAGGCTGAGCCACTGAGCCCGGCACCTGGATAATTTTTTGTAGAGACCAAGTCTTGCTATGTTGCCTAAGCTGGTCTCAAACTTCTAGGCTCAAGCAGTCCCCCTGCCTTGGCCTCCCAAAGTGCTGGGATTACAGGCATGAGCCCCTAAGCCCAGCCCCTCACTTAAGCTTTTTAGAACAGAGTTTGCTACTTTCAATGTAAGAGCTTTGAGTAAGATAATATTTTGGTTTTGTATTTTTAGACTAGTCAAGTACAGTAGTAAGACAAGTGAACAAGGAGTTGGATCTATAACTGATTGTGAACAATCAGCTGCGATAACTCAGTACCTGCCAACCAGCCTAAGGCAATATGCTTAAATTTCACAGGAAGAGTCCATCTGATTTCATATGAGCCAGTAGTGTCACACAAGTGTCTCCTATTGTGTAAAAGGGCCATAAGGTAGAAAGTAGCTTTCCATTGAGTGGGGTTACAGGATTAGAAGGTATGACCTTACGTGTGAAATGCAGGGCTAAACTGCTTTATACACAGATTCAGCCTGGGCAGCACAGCAAGATCTCATCTCTACAAAAAATAAAATTATTTTGATTTTTATCCCAGTTACTTAGGAAGCTAAGGAAGGAGCATTGCTTGAGCCCAGGAGTTTGAGGCTGCAACCATTAAAAAAATAATATACACAATATCTGGTTCCATTAAAAGTTGAATATCTCCAGGTGTGGTGGCTCAAGTCTGTAATCACAGGACTTTGGGAGGCTGAGGTGAGAGGACTGCCTGAGCCTAGGGGTTTGAGACCAGCCTGGGCAACTTGGTGAGACCTCATCTCTACAATAAATTAAAAAATAAGCTGGGCACAAAATAAGCTGGTAGCATGTGCCTGTAGGTCCAGCTACTTGGAAGTCTCAGCCAGAAGGACTGCCTGAACCCACCTGGTCGAGACTGAAGTGGCCATGAGCCTGCCACTGCACTCTAGCCTGGGCAACAGAGTGAGACTCTGACTCGGAAAAAACAAAGTTGAATATCTAGAATTAGAGGGCAACCATGGTGCCCAGCTTCTCTGCATGCTTTCCAGATGCTTCTTTGTCTAACGATGCTCTTGCTTAGGTTAGTCTTGTTTGGGTTTGAGGAGAGACCCTGACCAAGGCGAGGACCCTCAGACAAAGGAGTATCTGGAGAGCATAAGCAATCATCAAATAACTGGCTATTTAGCATGGGGAAAAAAGTGAGGAAGGACACGGTGATTTAAATATGTAGACAAGAAACAGGATGCAATCTGCAGAGTAAGAGCCTAGAATGAAAACCAGGACCTTTAAGTCGATATGAGGCTGAATGATCCTTTATCAGGGATAATGTAGGGGAATTACTACAAAAAGAGGGAAATTGGAAGAGATAATAATGCTCCTTTTCACCTGCTTATCACCAAGCAGTTTCCCAAGCATTCTGTGTGGATTCTCCCAACAATCAGGAAGCAAAAAGAGTGTTTTACAGAGGTGGAGAGAGCATGGGAGAGCTCAGCCTTCAAGTTGGGTCTTCTGACTTAAGTTACAGTTCTTCCCACCACACTACAGTGACTTCCCAGAGCCAGATCACCATTAGAACCTTCCAATTAGGAGTCCCTCATTAAAACAGAACTCAGCTCACGAGTCTTCCAGTGTCCCTGTGGCCTCTCCTAGCTCCATAGACAGGCAGGCCTTGCTAGCCACAGCAGATTGCACACCAGGACAAAAACTGGCCTATTTCCTGACTCCCCAAGGAGTTCTATATCTATAGGGGGTCCTGGGAGATGAGTACTCAGCAGACCCATGTAAATCGCTACTAAGGCCAAGGTGGGAAGCACAGTCTGTTGGGGTCCTCACCACTCAGCAATGCTTCTGTGGATCCTAGCCACTGAGGTCTCAATGTCAATCGGGTGGTATCGCAGCCCTCTCAGCTCCAGCGTTTCATCCAGAGCTCCCACCACGTACAATGCGTCGTGACGCTCTGGCAGAAGGAAAAAGACAGAGATGTGGACACAGGGTTCAGACTATCACCTGGCTCCCACCCTGCCCAGCTGTGTGACCTTGGGCAAATTCCTCAATGCTCTGAGTCCTGCCACCCTCTGTGAGAATGGGTCACATCAACTGCTGCTGTGAAGATGAGTGAGGTAACCCGGGTGAGAGTGGGAATGTGGGGTGTGGCACACTGTAAAGGCCTAAAAAATTGTGTGCTAGAAACTGCGTTAAGTGCTGGAGAGACAAATTGGACCAAACATGACTCCTGCTCTGAAGAGTTAAGGGTCAGAGAAAAAGACACACAGAGGCATTCTGCAGTCATGCAGTGAGCCTGGCGACAGGGGTGGGCATGGCGGGGATGGGGTGGGGGTAGTTCTAGCTCAAGCGTTCAGGGAAGACTCTGGATAAGCTGAGCTTTCCAGGATAAACAGGACGCAGCCAGATGAGGCTGGGGGCAGGGAGGAAGGAGAAGAGATGAACATGTGTCACTGTTTCTGGAAAGCTCCACAGAATCCAGATAAAAGGCGTAGGGTTACAGAACAGGGAGACTAGTCCTGCCCGACAGGCTTGTCATGCAGTTAGGATTTGGAAGGGAGATGATTTTACACTAATTTCTGGAAAGGGCAGATTTCTAAAAAATTCAGCAAAGCGATTGAAGTTGCTGGAACTTCTTGAGAAGGCTAAGGAGGTCCAGAAGAGGGTCCTGTCACCCAGATGAGCTCAGACTGATAGGAACAAAACAACAGCAGAAACACAGCAGTAAGCAACTAATGAGCGCTTTCTCTGTGCCAGACACTGTTCCAGGCATCTAAATGCATCACATCATTTAATCATTTCCATGAGGTGAGAACAGTCATGGCCATGTTCCAGGCAGAAAACAGGCTGAGTGATTGCCCGTGGTCACAGAGCAAATGGCAGAGCTGGGCGGTGAAGCCAGGGTACCAGCTGGGGATGCCACCCTCTTCTCCACCGTACTGTCCCGCCTCTCCATGAAATACAGCAGCCACGATGCTGGAGCTACAGATGCTAGGAGCTAGGGAGAAACAGCATGTCACCGTGGGCCCCGGAGCTCGGGGTAGCTGGCATCAGTTCGTCAAGTGCATGACACAGTGAGTATTGGGTCCTTGAAAAAAATGGCTGCCATGCCAGTGAGGAAGAGAAGAAAGGGGGCAGCGGAGAAGCTCGTGACAGCCTCCTGGCACAGGGTGGTGGGAGGGAACCCTTACGCAGGAGGCTGCCCGAAAGCAGGCTGTGTCCAGGGCAAGACACCGAGGGGCTGGAGCATGTAGGCAAGATGGCGCCTCAGAAGTGGTGTCCCCATGCGCAGGGACTAGGTTTAGGCCTGCTCCTCCTGCGGCCTACGTGGTATGCAGGGGTGGAAGAGTTAAAGGACACAGTGCTTGTCCCGGAGCTTGTTCAGGGTTGGAATCAGCCCCCAGGGGGCAGGGAGCCCGTGCTCTGCCCGAGGTGTTGACCGTGACCAGGCACGTGTCTGCCTGTCCGGCCCAGCGCTGGGTGCTCACGTGGTGGCCCTGTGTGCAGCTCCCAGACACTCTCCATGGGGCACAGTGGTACTTGAGATGAAGACTGATTCACTTATGGGCTCAAGAGATGTGGAAGGGAGGACTAAACACACACGGCAGGACACAGGGGAGGAGCGGCCGGGAAGTACCTCCAGTGGCTGCCGTGAGCTCCGTCCGGCGCACAAAGCCAAGGTATCCTGTCCGAGCCCAGAGTGTCTGAGCGGCATCCCCGAAGCTGAGGCGAGTGTTGAAATGATCCGCTTGAAGGGTCTCACTGTCATAGATGGTGTAGTAGCCACTGGCTGTATGGGGGCTGTTCACCCAAATCTACAAGGAAAGGGTACCAGGAACACACGACTGTAACAACTCAATTGTCTTGTGACAGATTACTGTGATTTTTCAAATCTCATTTTCTTTTACAAGCTTATTTATTTATTATTAATTTTTTGTAGAAACAGGATCTCACTATGTTGCCCAGGTTGTTCTCAAACTTCTGGGCTCAAGTCATTCTCCTGCCTCAGCCTCCCAAAGTGCTGGGATTGCAGGTGTGTCACCACTCAGACTTAAATCTCATTTTCACATGAACAACAACACAACTGCATCAATTTCCTAAGTGTTGACAATGTGCTAACAGTGATGTAAGTTCATGGCATGCCTAACCCCCGTGGATCCTGACATGGGTGACATGACAGTAGGATCCACACTACTACTGCTCCTGTTTTACAGATGGGAAAACAAGCAGAAATGAGGAGACTCACATCCAAGCCTGTGCGGTTCCAGAGGCCGTGCTCTTAACCACCAGGCTTTGCTGCTTCCCTGGCTCACTCCTCAGTCTCTTCCAGAAGCCCAGAAGGACCTCAAGGGATCACCTCTGCACTTCTAGTGTGACTATGGTGGGAAGCCCTCAGGGAAGCATCACGGACTGTTTGACTTTACAATGTAAATAGAGCAATTAACACAATGATAATAATAAAGGACTGCATGACTGAGAACTCTGTGCGACAGACACAATTCCATGTGCATGGCAGATGCAGGGATCGACTTCGGAGGTGAGGTAGGTGCTGTTGTTATTTATGGGGGAGGAGACTGAGGCCCAGAGAGGTGCAGTAACTTGCCCAGTGTCGAGAAGCTGGCAGGTAAGTGGCAGAGCCCAGGCTCTCTGCCTCCGCACTCACAGTCCCCCTCCCATGAAGGTGCGGGATGAGACATCAGCACCCATCAAACATTTGGGGGCGATAAATTAAGTCTTTTGGGATATTTTGCTAACGCAAAAACAGATGCACTCTGGAGTACAAGAAAACATGTGGGACACCATAAACATTATGAAGATGTATGCCTTTCAATTCCACACCTTCCTAGGTGGGAGCAGGCAGGATGTGCTGAAATTGCTGAGGCAGCACAGGCTTCAGTCAAGGCGTCCCTTTAACAAGGGGAAGGTCAGTGGGTCAACCTGGGACCTTTTCTAATGAGCGTGGCTCCATCTTCCCTGGACGCCCCTCCTGTCCTTTGCAGCCTTGTGCCTTAGAGAAAAGAGAACTATTCACACGGGGAAAAGCTGCAGCCACAGTTCCAGTGGTTTCTAAAATGTGTACCTCGATTTTTGCTGCTGCCTTTTCAGAGTAAAAAATGAAAATGACACAAACCTCTCCAAGGTGAGAGTCGCCCACAGGCCCTTTGGTCTCAGGATTCACAATCACCACTTTGACTCCAGGCAAAATCTAAGAATTAGAGGGAAAACACAAAGATCAGGTCCAAGGAAATGTAGCGATGTGGGAGTGGGACAAAGGATAGGAGCCAGTGGCAATGGCCTCACAGCAGTCGCCTGCTTTGCTCTCACTGACTCTTCCTCGGCTCAGTGAAGACCAGAGATTCACCTCGAAAATAAAATAGGGAGCCAGTCGACCCTCTCCTCAAAGGGATGAGAGACTGCAGACTGGGACTGCGCCGGCGGGATCTGCAGAGTACCCTAGCCATGTGCTGCCCCCTTCTCATCATCATCATCCACCTTGGTCTCTGGGATGACAGCAGCAAAACTCCTTAAACAGAACGGGCCGCAGGCAGGGACAGCCCAAGAGACTCTACTCCAGGTTGCGGCGGTGCTAGAGCTGGGGAATGAGGAGAGGAAGGGAGGATGGCGGCTTGGCAGAGGACGGAGACACAGCCAGGTCCAAGGATTGTCCTCAGACAGAACCAGACGCGGTCCAAGGGAACAGCCCAGTCATTCTAACACAAGGAAGGGACTCTCTGCTTACCCATATTCTGCCCCTTAATCCTCCCTTGTTATCTTGGGTTTCTAAAGCATGAGATTACCTGGGAAGCCTTACAATAATCATCTAGGGGCAAACATCTAAACTTCAAGGAAGGAAGAGACAAGACCGCTCCCCTGGTTTGGGCCAGGCCTGGGGCTAAGCTCCTGCGTGAGCCTGCTGCTAACCGAGGACAGGGAGGATCTGACAGGACAGGAATAAAGTCGACCGACCAAACCCCACCGCGAAGAGTACAAACACAAGAGGAAGCCTAGAGCAGGCTCGCTGTGGGCTTGGTGCACCACAGGGCAGGTTTAGCAGGCTCCTTTTCGTTCCCTTCCCAACCTTCTCTGCCTTTCAGGATTACCAGAAAGGATTCTGAGCCATCATCACAATCTTGTCAGAGGGATGAGAAAGTGCCCTCTCTTAACAGCACATGTGAGTGTCCAATCCTTCTTAGTAGACTAGTCATAACAAAGTCTCTCTCTCTCTCTATTTTTTTGGAGTTGGAGTCTCACTCTGTTGCCCAGGCTAGTGTACAGTAGCACACTTGGCCACCCCAGCGTCGACTTGCTGGGCTCAGGCAATTCTTCCACCCCAGCCTTTCAAGTAGCCGGAACTATAGGCATGCACTGCCATGCCCGGCTAATTTTTGATTTATTGTACAGATGAGGTTGTGCCAAGTTGCCCGGGCTGGTCTCGAGCCCAGGCAATCCACTCGCCTCAGCCTTCCAAAGGGCTGGGATTACAGGCTGAGCCACCAAGACTGGCTTCTTTTGACATTTTAAAGCCCTATTCTAATCTAAGAATGCTTACCCCTATAGATGTCAATTCTCTTAAATATCTTTTTTGTTTATTTATTTATTGAGTTGGAATCTCACTCTATCACCCAGGCTGGAGTGCAGTGGCACTCTCATGGTCACTGCAGCCTCGACCTGCTGGACTCAGGCGATCTTCGCCTCAGCCTTCCAAGTAGCTGGAAGCACAGGCATGCGCCATAATGCCCAGCTAATTTTTTTTTTTTTTTTATTTATTGTAGAGACGAGGTCTTGCCATGTTGCCCAGGCTGGTCTCAAACCCCTGGGCTCTGGCAATCCTCTCACCTCTGCCCTCCAAAGTGCTGGGATTACAGGCATAAGCCACCATGCCCAGCTCAAATATCTTTTAAAAAAAATTTTATTTCTTCTTCACCTCCTCCTCCCCTTGAATATCTTTCATTTCATCCCTATTTTTATTTCTTTCAACTTTGTTTTTAATCAGATGCTCAGTTTGGGATATTGTTATTTATATATTTATAGAGATGAGGTCTCGCTGTATTGCCCAGGCTGGTGTCAACCTCCTGGGCTCAAGTAACTCTCCCACCTCGGCCTCCCAAAGTGCTGAGATTAAAGGCGTGAGCCACGGTGTCCGGCCATCTCTTTTAACTTTAAATGCATGTATTTCTTCCCTGATCTTGAACCACACTTCCCTTTCTGCCACTCCTAGTTTCTCCCTGTGATGTTTATAAGACAGAATCGGCTTTAAGTGTCACTCATCTATCCTCCTGGCATATAATGATTATTGCATCCTGCTGGTTTGTCAGTAAGAATAACATGTCAGTTAGAGTTTTGAAGATCTATGAAAATTCAAATCTATCTTCCTCCTACCTCTGAACCCATATGAATCTGCAAGTAGTAGCTGATCTGAAATTGCTGAAGCAGCTCCAGGTTTCAATCAAGGCTTGATTTGGACACTGACCCATTACATGGCTTCAGGTTTCTTTCCCCGAGGCCCTTCTCCACAGCCCACCTTCCCTATGGTTGACAGAAGACATTACCTTTCCAGACTCTGAGAGGAGCAAACTCTGGGGAGCACCCCGTTCCACAAGACGAACCCTGTGGAAGAACAACAGTTACCTCAGTCAGACCTTCTACCATGACACCATCTTGCCGCCACTGAGCTCTCCTCCTGAGACCTCTCATCTGTCTCTCATTCTCACACTAGAGCAGGCATTCTCACACTCAGCACTACTGATATTTCGGTTCAGATAATTTTGTTGAAAGGGGCTATCGCACGCATTGGAGGGTATTCGGCAGCATCTGTGGCCTCTACCCACTAGATGTCAGTAGCAAGTCCTGTGGTAACCCAAAATGTGTCCAGTCCTCTGGGGAGCAAAATCTCCCCAGGTTCTAAACACTGCACGAGAGAGGTGTTCTACTTTGCAGGCAGGGTCAGTGCCCTGGGACACTCCAGGGAATACATTCAAGTGCCGGGGCTTGGGAGGTGCCTCAGAGCATCAGGCCAGTACTCACTGTGGGACACAGTTCAAATTTCTTTCTAAGCTGAGGAGGAGGAGGCAGGCTTTACCCATGGGGTTCAGATACAGTGTTGTTTCAAAAACCCTATTCTGCCTCATTTATCTTGTCTGTCCCATCTTTTATATTTCAACTCTCAGAAAAAAGGGACTATGCATTCTAGTTTAATTTATGTCACTAATTACTTTTATATAAGCAGGAACTAAGTATTATATTTTAATAGTCAAGAACACTGCAACAACTGTGAAAATTAATTACATTTCTTACAAATGTAAATCTTATCATACATTAATGATAAAAACAAATTCCCTCCCTTTCCCAATATCCTTCCTGAAAGACACAAACAGGGATGAGACAAAATGCTGGCTTTGAGATTCAGGTCTTTCTATGCTTAGGACGCTACCAGGGAACGAACATAGTAAATCCACTGTACCTGTCATGTCTCAGTGATTTCAGATCTACATACACAGTAGTCGGATCAGGCCCTGAGGTTCCCTAAAGAAAAAGAAGTCAATGCATTGTTTATTTAAAATTTAAATAAGCTACATTTCCATATTTCACGTCAAGAAATAGATCATTTAGCCATGTACATGAAAAATGCAAACTCTGTTTTGAAAGCTCACTCTCTTCAGTCGGGCACAATGGCTCACGCCTGTAATCCCAGCACTTTGGAAAGCAGAGGTGAGAGGATTACCTGAGCTCAGGGATTTGAGATCAGTCTGAGCAACATGGTGAGACCTCATTTTTACAATAAATCAAAAAATCAGCCGGGTGTGGGGGCACATGCTCATGGTTCCAGCTATTTGGAAGGCTGAGGCGAAAGGATCACCTGAGCCCAGCAGGTCAAGGCTGCGGTGGCCACGAGTGAGCGTGCCACTGCACTCCAGCCTGGGCGACAGAGTGAGACTCCAATTCAAAAAATAAAAGAAGGCTCACTCTCTTCAGCTAGGTGAGGGAGAGGTGGAGTCAACAAGCGGAGGAGTCTCCTGGCCTGGCATTGCCTGGTGGTCCTCTCCTTTCCTCCTGGGCCAGTAGGCCCTCTGCTCTCGCTCTGTCACAGGGACCATGTCAGCACTGAAGCATGACCAAGCTGAGGGGGCTTTTCAAAACCAGCACTGGCCCCAGAGGGTAGCACGGGGCCCATGAGGGGGGTTCCATGGCTAAAGCATCATGACACTTCCGGAGAGTTACCTGACCACAAGGACCCGAAAGTGTCCACCCATGTGTGCTACTTTCTTTCACTCTCATCAGTACCTTTATTTGCCTTACTAGCCGCTAAGCTACACAAAACTAGACTCAGCTCTAGCCTCCTTTATGGCAAAGTTGCCATCTGGCTGGAGAAGAGAATATAGGCTTATCTGTGCTTAATTTTCCAAAAAAAAAAAAAAGGGGAAAAAAGGTAAAATATCGAGGTGACAAAAAAACAGAAGGTCAGAGATACAAATAAAATCCAAACAGGTCTCAGAACCTTCATGACTCATTCTCATGGAGCATACCGAGAGTAATCACCGACTGCTACCAAGAATAAGCACTAGCTGGGCTCGGTGGCTCACCCTGTATCCCGCGCCTTTGGGAGGCTGAGGTGAGTGGATTGCCTGACCCGCGGGTTCAAGACCCGCCTGGGCAGCGAGACCTCATCTCTACAATAAACAAAAAAATCAGCCGGGCGTGGTAGCGCATGCCTGTAATTCTGGCTACTTGGAAGGCTGAGGCGGAAGGATCGCCAGAGCCCAGCAGGTCGAGGCTGCGGTGGCCGGGAGCGTCCACTGCACTCCAGTCTGGGTGAGAGAGTGAGACTCCAACTCAAAAAAAAAAAAAAAGATAAATCAGGATGGGCTCAGTGGCTGACACCTATAATCCCAACACTTTGGGAGGCCAAGGTGAGAGGATTGCCTAAGCCCAGGGGTTTGAGACCAGCCTGGGTAACTTGGCAAGACCGCGTCTCTACAAAACGAAAAATTAGCCAGGCATGGTAACACACGCCTGTAGTTTTGGCTACTTGGAAGGCTGAGATGGAAGGATCGCTGGAGCCCAGCACGTCAACGCTGGGGTGGCTGTGAGCATGCCACCGCACTCCAGACTGGGTAACAGAGGGGGACTCTGACTCAAAAAATGAATAAATAAGAAATAATTTAAAGGATAGTGGTGATGATTGCACACTATTGTGAATATAGTTGGGTAGAAAAAATGAATCAGGTTCTACTATGTTCTCACAACACACTTCCGACACCACTGTGTGGAGTTTCCCCCCCACACACACACATCAAGCAGGAAATTACATCTACAGTGGACACCAGCTGAGTGTCCTCCAAGTCAATTCTGACACCATCTACTTGGAGATAGTTTGACGGCTCAGTTCCCAAGAGTGCCCCCAACTTCCCATGCCAATCACAAGCTCTAGTTGTTTCACCCATGCTTCTGACTGACTGGCTATGTATTGGGATTTCCATGACCTACTCCTTGGGTTTCATTCATTTGCTAGAGCAGCTC